ATGGGTGATGCTGACTAGCTGCCTTCTCTCTAGTCTATCACTGCTAAAGTAGGGACGGCTAGCGCAGATAGCCCTCGTGTAGCTTTGCGCGAAATTCAAAACAAACCAATTATCATCCAAAATACATGTGATTTAGTTCTAATTATCCTGCATTTTTGCCCAAAACGTTATATAAACATCTATAAAAGTATAAAGAATTAATAAATACTCATAAAATAATTGTATAAAAATAGAAAGATGAAACTAATTCCGTATAATGTAAAAATAAACAATATTCTATAAAACAATGAAGCACGAGACTTATGCTAAAACTTAACTACTTAGTCTATTTTGACAGTGTTATTATAACGTTTTATTGCACTTTTCATTCTCAAAGTCACTTTATTTTATTGTACAACTAAATTAGAGGCTGTCGTTATTTGTTTCCGCTACCCTGTACAATAAAGTGTACACAGGAAAATTACCGACGTTTCCTATAGTCAATGCTACTGGACGTATATTTTCTTCATAAACCACATAGCCAGATTTTCTGCCCAACTCTTTATTATAAAAACTAAAAGGAATGATAGGTGACTTAAAATTGGAATTCATAGCATAAGTATTTTATATTTTAAGTATGAATGAAAGAAGACTTTTATCTCGAATAATTTTCACATAAAAAATCACATAATTGCTACACTGAATATTTAAATATAGAAAAACACCTTTCGAAGTTAAATGGTTTATAAAGTAAAATGTTCATTCCTCAATATGAAGTCAACATCCAACATATAAATAAAACCTAATGCCAGTTAGTAGATAAATCGCAGGCTATAACCCGTGTTTTGAAGATTATAAAAAATACTAAAACCATTCTACTAACTCTAGAAGTGCAATAGAATTGTACTTTTAAATACGAACAAGATATAAAAATTCCCAACGAGTGTTGATATTCTATAAAAAAAAGAATAAAATACACCACTCCATTTCAGTTTTAGGATTTACATGAACCTGTAGTTTCGTAATTATGTAACGCTATGACTACCCAGAAGTCTTCCCCACGAGTTTTCACAGACTTGTTTTAAAGACTGGTTAGAAATAAGCCTATGTATCAAACTTTCTAACAGTAAGAAAAAATATTGCTTTGAAGTAACCAAAACTAAATTTACATAACTGTTTACACCCAATTGCAACATTATCCAAAATGTCAGGTTTAACAAATGGCTCAAAACACACTAAAATTTATGCATGTACAGTTCCTTAGAAGTCTAACCAATTGTAATTGCTGTTTGTACCAAGGTAGATTGAAATGTATATTAATAGAGACTGACCCTCGTCCATTCGACTACTTAACTTCTATAGAACCATTAGAGGGCCAAACAATCTTATTATCATAAGAATTGTTACGTGTCTGCTCACTCACTCTATCCTTTGTCTTGATGTTTAAATTATGAACCCATACGTCACTAGATTTGATTTTCATACAGCAAACAACATCACCACAATGAACTCAAGCAGGCTGCATCTGTAACGAAATAATTAGTATTTAAATCCATTGCTGACATGCGGCCTTCAGTGAACTAACTACAGAACGTCGCTAGATTTGATTTTCATACAGCAAACATCATCACCACAATGAACTCAAGCAGGCTGCATCTGTAACGAAATAATTAGTATTTAAATCCATTGCTGACATGCGGCCTTCAGTGAACCAACTACAGAGACCGGCAAGGTTGCTAACTTACCTATGTTCCTTTATCAAAACAATGTTTTATTTTTATTAATTTGCTTTTTTACGAATCTATCGCCGGGTCCGTGGTATGATAGGGGTTAGGAACCACTACTTTATAAAGTCTTTCCATACCCCCGAGGGTACGCGTAATACTGGTTTGGATTCAATGACATACATCATGTGGCAGCTGCTTACAGAAGGGGAATCAAACTTCGGGGGTAATATTTAAAAAGAAAAAAAGACGCAAGATAAATTTTCATTTAGTGGATCCTACGACAAGGATACTGGATTGATTCTCAGCAAACATATAACAGTGACTTTTAAGTACGTTCTGCATTTTAATTTCCATTGAAATTGTACCCATAATGCTTACTTTTCTCACACTATTGACCATGATTTTGAAACCTGAATGATGCGAAAGAACGGAAAAACATCGAATAAAATCAAATTTTGCGCAAAGCAGCACGAGGGCTACCTGCGCTAGCCGTCCCTAATTTAGCAGTGTAAGACTAGAGGGAATGCAGTCAGTCATCACCACCCACCGCCAACTCTTGGGCTACTCTTTTAACAACAATTAGTAGGATTGACCCTCACATTATAACGCCCCCATGGCTGAAAGGGCGAGCATGTTTGATGTGACGGTGATTCGAACCCGCGACCCGCAGACTGCGAGTCGAGCGCCCTAACCACCTGGCCATGCCGGGCCATTTGGGAAGATAAGAAAGCCATAAGTGTTAATATTAAGAAGAATTTAAAATTATATTGATAACTGTGATAAACGTTTTAAAGGTTTGTAATTAAATATTTAAGAGCTGTAATAGTAATTGTGAAGAAAATCTTAATAATAATGAGCAGAAGGTACCGTCGTCCGAAGTATTAGATTTCAAGAGCTTTGGATATGACCCAAGCGTACCCTAGTGGTTAGGGTATCAAGTTGCGAATCGAAAGATCTGGGGTTCGAGATGTGATGCCGTTGAAAACTCCCCGCACGTTCAGCTGTGATCGCCTTATAAAAGTGGCAGTCAGTTTCTTTATTCGGTTCAAAGGGTCGGAAAAAATCATTGCGAAAGGGGATGCTGCCGACTGACTACCTTCCCTCTAGTCAGTAGTTCAAGATTAGGCAAAATTGCATTTAAATATTAAGGAGTTCTAACCTGGTCGTTTAGCTCACATGTACGGTAGGTATTGTTGAGGTCGAAAATTTCAATTCCAACA